GGGGTCTGAGATTCGACATGTGTAACAAGCTCCTGGGTGACAGCAGGACTGCTGGTCCACGGACCACACTCCGTGGGAAAAATCTGGACCGGGTTAATGAACGATGGCCACAAGGTCAGCTCTACCTCGGGGCCTGTTTTCCTACAAACAGCAAGCTAAAAGTGGCATTTTCTTTTTTCTTTTTCTCTTTTTTTTCTCTTCCCCAGTCACAAGGAGAACTTTATTAGACACAGCTGGGCTTGAGAGCCTGGCACGCCCAGCACCCTGGCCCGTGGCCCTGAGCAGCCAGAGCTGGCGGAGGGTGGTTCCATCCAATGAGTCTCAGAGCAAACGGTAACCCCACAACCCAACACTCTACCTAAGATTACCTAGCTGGGGGACGGAGGGCTGCACCACAATGTACGAACAGAGCAAATCTTTATAAGTAAGAAACATCCAGTGAAGAGAAGATGACAACTCTAATTCACCTTTCTACACGGAGCGCTCTAGGGCAGATGAGTGGGGGCGAGGGCCGGGATGTCCACGGCACGGGGCAAGCAGGGGAGAAGCCAGGGTAGCAGACAATGGGCACGAGGGCACTTCACGTTCACAAGACCGACTACTGGGGGGACGGCTGCCCTGTGCGGGCGTGTCAGGCTGTTCATTTTGGAACGAGGGGATGGTCTTTACATCGTCTTCTGTGGCTAGTGTGCTCCGAGAGGGGCTACTCTGTGGGGAGGATGAGGGCAACAGTGAGACCAAGAAGCCGAGCACCTGGGCAAAGATGAGGGTCAGGACCATGCTCCCGAACAGCCACGCCTGCCAGCGCCCCCCACAATGCCAAACGCAGAGCCAGCCGCCAGCCTGCACAGGACGGCACCCAGCTGGAGGAAACTGATGCCGTCATTCAGGGAATTAACGATGAGCACTGCCACCACCAGCCTGTAGATGGCGATGAGACCAGCCATGACCACAGGGACCATGGACTGCAGCGTCAGTTCTGGCCGCGATGCCAGTGCCACTCCTGGCTGTACCGTAGGCGGTACCCAGGGCGCTGAAGACCATGGCAGCCGAGGCGCCCATGACCGCAAAAAAGGAGGTGTACTCGGGGCCACTCCTGGCCTGGAACATGTCTGCAAGTGGGGAAAGGGCGAGTTCAGCAGGCCAAGGGGGCAAGGACGGCCAGGCACAGCAAAGGAGCAGGAGAGCAGTCAGGTGACTACGAAGGGGACCACCCCATCAGCCACTGCACTCTAAACCGCATTTACCTGTTTAAGGCAGTTGTTTAAAAAAAAAAAGAAAAGGGGCGCCTGGGTGGCTCACTCAGTGAAGCATCTGACTTTTGATTTCGGCTCAGGTCGTGATCTCATGGTTCATGAGATCAAGCCCTGCATTGGGCTCTGACAGCACAGAGCCTGCTTGAGATTCTCGCTCTCCCTCTCTCTCTGCTCCTTCCCCCCTCATGCACTCTGTCTCTCGCTCAAAACTGAATAAGCATTAAAAAAATTTTTTAGTAGATAAAAACAAAAAATTTTAAAAGGAAGAATATGTTGACAGAGACCATTTATGTGGCTCATAAAGCATAAAATATTTCCTCCCTGGTCCTTTACAGTAAAAGTTTGCCAACCCGGATCTAGAATACCATCCAGGGACAGGGTGGATAGCTCTATGAGACAGAGAGAGAGAGAGAGAGAGAGAGAGAGAGAGAGAGAGAGATAGAGAGGAGAGAGAGAATGGAGTTCTGAACCCTGAAACAAACTTGTATGACTTCGGATCACCATGCCTAGTTCGGGGGGAGAAAATAAAAGTATAACGCACTCCATGTATGCCAATGCTTCTGCCAAGACCCTGAGGCCTGCGGAGGCTGAGCTAACACCTGAGGCTCCCAGGTGGGAGTGGGTGGCACTGGGGAAGAGGCAGAGACACACTTGGGGCTGTCAGCGGGGAGAAAGACCTGTAGTGAGTGGATGACTGACTGCCTCTTTCAACCCTTAGCTCAGAAGAAAAAAAAAAAAAAAGACGCAGTAGTGGCCACCCTCACTGGTGTGCAAGACCACAGAAGTACTGGAAAAACTGCATGAAAAGGAAACGCCGTGAATTCCACGGGGTTTCTCGGTGCAGCAGAACCTTCTGCATTTTGGCTGAGGGAGGGTGGAGAGGGGCACCGGGAAAGGTGAGAGAAAGGGGTGGCAGCAGGATAATGACCCAGAGCCTACAGCTTGGGGGCTGCTCCACGGGGTGTCTGGCTACAGAACCTTCTGTCATGCTTCTGCCACCCCGTGTGGAGGACGACATTTGCTTAAATGTCAGCGCCTGAGAAAGTAAATACAGCTGTCCATTTCCATCAACTCGAACCAATCAATCTGGCTCACTTTCCGCGGAGGACCAGGCTGTTTTGCCTTCCGATGCGAACAGTTTGCCGGTTTCACATCAAGTGTTCACATATATTTCCAAAGGACAACAAACAGCACCCTTTCTTGGAAGGTGCGGAAAAGATTAAGCCCATCAAAAAGCCTGTGGCAGGGTTTCTGTAAACGCAGACTGTTCCGGACTGCTGGAGGACAAGTACAAAGGTAGAAGGCTATTACAGAACCGCCACATGCAACAAAGCAGGCCCCAGAATTTCTTGGTTGGAGGGAACCTTCAAGGTCGACCAGTCTCCTTCATGCTTCCCACAAAGCTGTTTATTAAATCTGACTGTCTAAAGGCAAAGAGCCCACATCGTGCCTGCCTTTCGACGTGGAAGGTGAAATAAAGTCTTCCTCTTCTTAATAAATGAAAAATCCTGGCAATCCAAAACAAATCTCTGCTCTTTAACCCATGAATTCCTGCCCTTCCCAAGTCCATCCCCCGTGACCACACTCATTTTCTCAGGGACCAGAAAGTGAGTTCTTTCAGGGAAACAACTGATCTTTGCGGCACCCCACACGCTGCTCACGGTGAGCAAGTCTGCTGGCTACTGAAAGATCTTGGTTTTTCTGCCGCCCATGGGCTGTGATCTTGGGTAAGTTACTTGACCTTTTAAAACCTCAGTTCCCTCCTGTGTAAAGTCCTAACACGGAAGGGCTATTCTGAGGACTAGATTCGATAATACATACAGGATACTTAGAATGGTGGCTAGCATAGTAGTAAGAGTTTACTAAGAGTTGACGATCATTATCATTTAGTTAGTAGACATTCTATATCATGGATCACACTACCTCCCCAAAAAAGACTACACCGTTCTCAGCACTATTGACAGTTCTTTGTTATAAGGTCTCATTCTGGGTTTTGCAGGATATTCAGGAACATCCCTGGCCTCCACCCTCTAGGTACCAGAGGCCCCCCCATTTTCCCAGTTCTGACAACAAAAACTGTCTTCAGAGGTTGCCAAATGTCGGGGGGTAGGGGGCACAAAATGCCTTCCTCCTTCCATAGAGAACGACTGCACGAGAATATGCAAATCTGTTTTGCAGAGTAGCTACCATACCCTCTCACCCCTCATCTCCCACGGAAGCCCTCTCCCCACATGAAGCCACCTCAGCAACCGCTTGCTCACCACTCAGCTGCCGTGGAGGAAACAGGTGATAGGTGCTGTAGATATCATTGGAGAACTGCAGCTGGAGCTCAGGGCTGCCCGTCAGGAGCTGGGCCACCTGCTCCACCTGAAATGGTGTCTTCTCCAGGATCACAATGGCATCCTCGCCATCCCCGTCCCCAGAGGCCTCATTCACCTGGAGGCAGAGACACCATCAGTGAGCCCAGAAGCAGGTGCCGGAGCTCCGGGGCCTCCTGTTCCTTCTCCCTAGGCAGGCATCTCATTAACCCAAATACTTGGGCACTCACATCTTTCTCCTCAAAGATGCAAAGCCTCTCTCTTTTCTTCTATTTCAGGCTTACAGGGTCTCTGCCAAATTCTCCCCATTTTACAGATGAAGAAATATGTCTAGAAAGATTAAGTGACTTGCCCAAGGTCACATGAACAGTCAGTGTGGAAAGAGAAACTAGATGGGTGGCTCAGTCAGTTAAGCGACCAACTCTTGATTTTGGCTCAGGTCATGATCTCACTGTTCAGGAGTTCGAGCCTCGAACTGGGCTCAGAGCTGACAGCATAGAGCAGCTTGGGATTCTCATTCTCTCTCTCCGTCTCTCCCTCTGCCCCTCTCCCGCTGGCTTGAGCGTTCTTGCAAGCACGGTCTCTCAAAAATAAATAAACATTAAAAAATATATTACATAAAGAAACTAGAATCTGGGTATCCCAGTTAACTCCCAGCTCAGAGATTCTTATGGCTAAAACCTTCAGCAAGTACTGCAGATTGGGGACAGGTGGGGTTGAGAGAACTAGACAGAACCTTGTAAAAAATAAAGTAAGAGAAACAGACAGGCACGGTAGCCTAGGCCTAGGTCCCCCTGATCCTCCCCACATGAGAGTTCCTGCTAGGAGTTCTGAGGAATCCTAGTACCTACCCTTGGCCGGGCCTCCTGCCTATTCCCAGAATGGTTTCCAATCTCTTCAGTTCTTTCTATTGAGCTGAGCATATGGTATTAGGGCCCGCTGTCTACCAGATACTCTGCATTCTGAAAATCAGGGATGGCAACTTTCATCTCTACATCCCCAGCATCTAGCCCAGTGCTGTCGGTGCATAATATGTGCAACCGAATTCGCAATTGAATAAACTGTCTCCTCTGTTAGGGTTGAAATCCTGCACAGCAGGGACCCTAACTCCTACAGTCTCTACGTAGGTCGTCATTCCATACAGGATGAATGGGTTGGAGAACTCGACACGTGATTTTTATACAAGTGTTAGTTACTTTTGGATAAGGAGGAGTAAAGAAAGTTAACCCTACGCCTGTTGATTTCCTAGATTCTAGGGTAAACCTGTCTCCCATAGCACCCACACCCACACACAATCTAGTGGTACACTCTTCCTCCCCCGCCCCCAACAGTGCGATTGGTATTTTCCGGCTGAGCTCAAGTTTAAAAAAAAAAAAAAAAAAAAATCCGCCTCCAAGGCGATGATTGGCTCACTCCAACCCGCATCCCGCCCAGGGCTGCCGGATGGTACCTTCCCGTGGAGAAAAATGATTTTGTCCCGCGCGGACTCCCGCAGCACTTTTTTCACTCTAAAGCCGGAGAACGGTAAGCGCACAGGAGCGGAGGTACCATTCTCAACGCCCGCTTCCTTTTCCTCCGTATTGGCAGCTTCCGCCTCCTCGGCGTCCAGTTCGCGCTTTCTCTTGCTGGGTAGAGTCGCTATGTCCGCCATGCTTCCCGGTCGGAGCCGTGCGCCTGCGCAAACCGCAGCCGCGGCCCCGCCCTTCTCGGCGCTCGGGCCGCCGCGCTTCTCTCCTCCGCGAGGGCGCGACCACTGCAACTTCCGGAGTGCTCCGCGGGGAAGCGGGCGGTAGTCCCAGCTCTAGGGAACTTCGGGCCGCAGATTCCTGCGATCTGTCCGCAAGGAGTGTTTTAAAGTCACTGTTCTTTGTTCCCTCGCGCCGGCAGGCCCGAGTTGAGGCTGGTGCTGAGGAAGAGAAAAGAAGGCAGCGAGTCTCTAACCAGGCCGCCTAATGATGGAGGCGGCACTCCCCGCCGCCCTGGGTGCCAGATTCGGAAAACACCCTTTGGACTCTGTGGATGCTTTGACACCTGACACACCGTGGGTTGAATACTGACGTTTTTATTAAGAATTATACCAACATTGCTTAGCGTGGAAGGAATGTTTCTGAAACAGATCTGTTGAGCCAATCTTCTTGTTCGATTTTTTGTAAGAGAGCCATTAAATCATTTCCATTGTTCACCCATTTTCCATCCATTTTCATTTCACAGAAATTTTCTTGTTCAGTGCTGAAAAGAAAGGTAAGTGAACAGGGCAGAAATGCATATCTATCACCTGCTTTTCTACCAGGCTGGGGACTTCTCCCCGCTGTATTACCTCGTTTACCCATAAGTCTGCTATGCTATTCCAGAGATGTGATTTGCATCTAGAATATAAATCATCTGTCACAGTGTCTTTGCTTTTTTTTAACATAAGTTTTTTACTTATAATTTCTTCCTTTTTTAAAAAAATTTTTAATGTTTATTTGCTTTTGAGAGAGTGTGCACACACACAAGCTGGGGAGGGGCAGAGAGAGAGAGGGAGACCCAGAATCTGAAGTAGGCTCCAGGCTCTGAGCCATCAGCACAGAGCGCCTTGCAGGTCTCCAACTCACAGACCGACAGATCAAGACCTGAGCGGAAGTTGGATGCTTAACCAACTGAACCGTCTATTTCTCCCTTTGTAAGTTTCCTTTGTGGCTATTTTTTCTGGCTAGTCCTTTTGACAGATTAGATAATTTGACAGATAAGAATTTTGTCAAATTTAGTCCACCAAAAATTGTGCTATTTTTGCTAATGTCACTTTTTTTTTTTTACAAATAGTTTATTGTCAAATTAGTTTCCACATAACACTCAGTGCTCATCCCCACAAGTGTCCTCCTCCATGCCCTGCTAATGTCACTTTTGAGGTGTTTTTTTTTTTTCCAGACTAATGGTAGAGGTAGTTTTTGTAGTTTTCAGTTAGTAAATAATGAAGTATACTGTATGTCAATGACAGTTTAATTTGGGATTATTTCTACCAGAAATACTATTATGAGTTGGAGGAAAGGCTTATTGTTCTCTGAAGTAGAGACAGTTAGTAAGGGCATCTTAGGATCTGGAATAGTTATCTTCAGCCAAAAACATGCTGCTTGTCCACAAGTTTCCTGGATAACATCCCCCACCTTTTGGGAATATAAAGTAGGAAGTCATAAACTGTGTGCAAGATTAGAGCAAAATGTCTTTGGGGGTAAATGGCAATAGCAAACCTGTTCAAAAATCTTATGAAAATTTCTAGGTATGCGTACTCTTTCTTTCCCTTTTCTCCCCTCTTTCCCACCTCATACTCCCCCCACACACCCGTCTCCCCTACTTTCTCCTTCTCCTTCTCACTTCTTTGAGCAGAGTAACTATGTTTTAACAAAAAGAGCCCTGAATCGGGAGTCATGAATCTGGCTCCAGCACTGACCAGCTGTGCAACTTTGGGAAAGTCACTTACCCTCTCTAGGCTTCCATTTTCTATGTGCCAGACACTGTGTACCTTGGACAAGACAGGGGAGATCTCTACTCTCATAGAATTCACATTCGAATGAAGTAAACAAATGTAACTTTAGATAATGACTGTTATTTATAGAATGAAAGAGGACAATGTGATAGAGCCTGGGAATAGGGAAGAGATAAGGTGATCACAGGTGGCTTCTTAGGAGGTGACAATGCGCGGAGACTGGAATGATGAAAAGGAACCAGCCAGGTAAAGAGACCAGGGAAAGTGTATTTCAGGCAGAGATGTCAGACGCTGAAGACCCTAAAGCAGCAATGAGCTTGACATTGTTTTGGAAACAAAATTGGCTCTTGTGGCTGGAATATAGCAAGCAGAGAAGAGATATAAAATGAAGTTTTAGATTTATTCACTAGAAGCAAATTCATCAACACCAATGTAACTTTTATTTAAATATCCATTAAGGTCAAAATTCCACTCCTAGGAAGTCCTGGCTGAAGGAAAGAATGAACTAGGAAGCCTCAACCACCAAAGGATCTCTCAGAACCAGACAGCGGAGTGCCGCAGACCTTTATGGTAGCACACAAGTCTTTGCTTGGCACAGAAGCATTTGTCTGTTGATGATTTTTTTAGTTCCTCTTGTTTGGAAACATTAGAAGGCATTGCACTGTCCCACCTAATAGCCACTAGCCATATGTAGATATTTACATTTAAATTAATTAGAATTAAATAAATTAAAAATTCACTTCCTTGGTCATACTGCCATTTTTCAAGTGCCTGATAGCCTCTTATGGCTACTGGTAATCACATTGGCCAGCAGAGATGTGGATTGTTTGTACCATCGCAGAAAGTTTCACTGCTATATTAGAAGGCTATTACTGGAAAGCCCTTGTCTGTCTATAAGCATCAGTCCTTCAGTCTTGTTGAGAAAGCTCAAAGCCTCCCAAATCTTGTTTTTATTTTAAAGACTAAACATTTCCATTTCAGGCCTTATGATAGACAAGATATCCTAAAAACAGATCAGCTAAAGACACCTGACTGTTCTGGGTGCAAAATTTAAAACATCCACTTGGTTACATTGCTGCTGTCTTAATAAAATTTTCAGCAATGAAAACTGTGGGAACATGAATCTAAAATGACAAGTGGACACTGAAGCTTAAGTTCTAAGAGTGATTGCTCATTTCTGGAAATCTGGAGCCTCGGGCTTTCAATGTGATGTTTAAAGCACAAGGAGGCTTGTGCATGGTGAGGGATTGGAAGAGAGCATGGTGAAAGGGTCAGCTATTAAAAACTAAACAAAAGCTATCCCTTTAAAGGGGACAAGATACTTACATTTATCTGCCTCAACATCTGGATGTGGGGGGAAGAAAAAAAATCCCCTGAATATTCATAACCACAGGCCAGTCTTCATGCAGGTTTAGAACTCAGGTTTGTTCTGTCTACATGATCCAGGACATTGAAATTGAAAACTTATTCAGGCTGGTTTTGTGTTTTTCGTTGACTGTTTATGCTAAATTGACTCCAGAAGAAATGGAAAATCTAAATAGATCTGTAACTCTTTAAGACATTGAAATTGTAGTTTTAAATCTTCCCATAAAAAAAGCTAGGCCTGGGGGCACCCGGGTGATTCAGTCGGTGCCCCTGGGTGGTTCAGTCAGTTGAGCGTCGGACTTCAGCTCAGGTCATGATCTCACGGTTTGTGGGTTTGAGCCCCGCATCAGGCTTTGTGCTGACAGCTCAGAGCCTTCTTCAGATTCTGTGTCTCCCTCTTGCTCTGCCCCTCCCCCACTCACACTTTTTCTCTCAAAAATAAACATTAAAAATGTTTTTAAAAAGAAAATACTAGGGCCCAATGGATTGGCAGAGTTTACTCAACATTCAAGGAACAACAAATTCCAAGCTTAAAAAAAAAGGGACCACTCCCCAGCTATTTTTTAAATGAAGAATGATTGACATACACTATCGTATTAGTTTCAGGTATGCAACAAAGTGACTTGATATTTATATACATTACAAAATGGTCACCATTGTAAGTCTAGTTACTGTCACCCTGCAAAGTTGTTAGCAATATTATTGACTGTATTCCCTATGCTTTACATTATATCCCTTTGTCTCTTTTATTTTATAACTGGCAAATTGTACCTCTTAATCCCCTTCACCCATTTCATCTACTCCCCAACTATTTTATAAAGCTGGTGTAACCTTGGTAACACAACCAGAGAGGCATACTACAAGAAAAGACAATTATGGGCCTGTTCTACATAGGAACAGATAAAAAGCTCTAAAGAAAATATTAGCAGTCTGAATCCTGTGATTTATAACAAAGGTAATGTATTCATCATGGCCAAATTGAGTTTACCCGGGAAATGTAAGGCTGGCTTAACATTAGAAAGTCTAATGTTAGGGGCACCTGGCTGGCTCAGTTAGTTGAGCATGCGACTCTTGACCTCAGGCTCATAAGTTCAAGCCCCATGTTGGGCATGGGGCCTACTTAAAAACAAACAAACAAGGGCACCTGGGTGACTTAGTTGCTTAAGCGTCCAACTTCCGCTCAGGTCATGATCTCAACAGTTCAGGAGTTCGAGCGCTGTGTTGGGCACTGTGCTCACGGCAGAGCCCGCTTTGGATTCTCTGTCTCCCTCTCTCTCTGCCCCTTCCCTGCTCATGCTGTCTCAAAAACAAATAAACATTTAAAAACAAAAATTAAAGCATAAATGAGACAAAGGTGGCTGCTGTTGTCACATTCAAAACTTTGCTGGTTGTCCTAGGCAGCACAGAAAGACAAGGAACTAAAGTGTTTTTGTTTTGCAAATTATATGATTGTCTTTATAGAAACCCAGCAAAATCTATGGTCTTATAAGTAGTTCAGCAGGTTGCTTAATATTAGATCAATATGCAAAATGTAATCCTTTCTATCGGTAGTAGATAAAAAATATAAAAATACCATTTATAATGGCAATAGAAAATATGAAGTATTAAATCTAGTAAAATAAAGGAATAAAGTAAAATATGAAGGAATAAATCTAGTAAAAGTGACTGACCAAAATAGAAAAGATTATAAAATTTTATTGAAATACATTTAAAGATCTCAATAATGGAGACATACCATTTTTATGGAGAGAAAAATTGAAAATAAGAAAAATCAATTCTTCTCAATCTCTCAACTCAGTATAAGCCTAGTAAAAATACTAATAGACATCAAGACTTTTATTTAATTGTTTATTTATTTTATTTTTGAGAGAGAGCGAACGTGAGTGGGGGAGGGGCAGAGAGAGACAGAGAATCCAAAGCAGACTCCGTACTGCCAGTGCAAAGCCCAACATGGGGCTCAAACTCACGAACCGTGATATCACGACTTGAGCTGAAGTCAGATGCTTAACTGACTGAGTCACCCAGGTGTCCCGTGACTTCCTTAAAAGCCATAGTAAGTGAGCCAGTGTGTCACTGATGCAGGGATTCACAAACACAGAGGACACCCCCACATATGACAATATAATGGCAGCAGTGACATCACAGTCAGCGGGAGGAAAGGATGGACTCTAGTCTGTAAAGAGGGGCCATTCAAATGGGAAGAAGAAATTGGACCTTTGATTTATAAGCCAAGAGTACGCCAACAAAAACACAAACAAAGCATCCTGGTGGATTAAAGACCTAAATTGTGAAAGAGCTCCGGAAGAAAATAAAGGAATAGGGAAGGGGTTCCTAAATAAGATACAAAAACACAGACTATGAAGTAATAGGTAAAAGTTTTTATATTAAAAAATGAAATGTTCTCATCTTTAAAAGATACATTTTTTAAAAAACTTATAAAAACATACATAGTTTAATATGTAGGAATAAAATAATGCCTGGGATTTGCTTCACAGGGATCTGAGGGGGAGGGATGAGTAGGGTGATTGTTGATAGGAGCTTAGCTCTGAGCTGGTAATTGTTGAAGCCAGATGATGGGTATATGGGTATTCGTCAAATTTTTCTCTTCGGTTTATGACATACATAGAGTTTCTCACACACACACACACACACACACAAGGCTAAAAAGAAAAAAAGGATACCAGTTTTCACCCACCAGCTCAACTAATATTTTCCAATCTGATAATCCCAAGTGTTAGTAAGAACATGAAAAAGTGGGAAATCTTAACACACCAATGGTGGGAACACACATTGACACAACCAGTTTGGCAGAAAATTTGGCATTTTCTACCCAGACTGAAGATGTGTATTTACTGCCCAGCTGTTCCCCATCTAGGCTAAGTCCTAGAAAATCTTGCTCATGGAAACATGCACAAAAATGTTCATAAACTCATTGTTTTTACTAGCAACAAATGGCAAACAAACCAAATGTCTGTTTGTAAAGGAACGTGTGACTAGTGGTATATTTACATAAGAGAGCCATAGTGAGTTCCTGGTATTACATGCATCCGCATGGATAAATCTTACCATGTGGTTAAAAAAAAGAATATGTTGGGACGCCTGGGTGGCTTAGTCGGTTAAGCGTCCGACTTTTGCTTAGGTCATGATCTCGCGGTTCGTGGGTTCGGGCCCCGTGTCGGGCTCTGTGCTGACTGCCAGCTCAGAGCCTGGAGCCTGTTTCAGTCTGTGACTCCCTCTCTCTCTGACCCTCCCCTGCTCACGCTGTCTCTCTCTCTCTCCTAGAAATAAATAAAACATTAAAAAAAAAAAGAATATGTAGAATATGGACATTATAATATCATAAATACAGTACAAAACCATGGAAAAGCAAATATGTTCTCGCGGATGTATAAGTGAAAAGCTAACAATGATAAATTCACAATTCAGAAGGGTGATCACGTCTGCCGGGAGAAGAGAGGAGATGTAATTAAAGGCACAAAGGGAGCACCATAGGGATTGTAAGGTTTAGCTGCTTAAGCTGAGTAGAAGGTACACGAGTGTACATTATATTCTTCAGTCTTTTTGCATGTAATAAAATAATGCATAATGAAAATAGAAATTTTTTTCACAACATATACAAATGGCAAATCATTTTACACCTGAAACTAATGATAATATATTAATTATATCATATATATACATGTATATGTGTGTGTGTATGTATGTGTGTGTGCATGTATATATTCGTATATGTGTGAATTTTTTCCAGTAAAGGGAAGGGACATGGTAGGGGGAAGCGAGGGAAGAGGCACAAAAGCATACATCAGGGGAATATATTAGAAATTCATTTCGGTTCAACACCAGACTCCTTGAGAACAGGTGAATGAAACCCTGTCCTACAGCCCAGAGTCATCTGCCACAAGAAGACAGCTCATCTCTCTATCTCCAGTGCAGATGTAAAGCAGCTTGTAAAAAAAAAACGTGGGTTCTGGTCCGACCTTTGATGAGGCCCCCAGGAGTCGAAGCCTCGGTGGGTGGGCTCCTGACCCAGGTGTAGGATCTGAGCTTTTCCTTGCCCCCACCACCTGCTCCCCGCCACCTCCTGTCTATTCAGAATGGCTCCTGTGTGTGTCTTAATGACATGTGTGCAATAAAAATACAGTACGGTGCTGAACGCATCTTTCACGTAGTTTTCTGAAGTGAACAGCGTCCCTGGGAAAGAGAAGGGCGGTAGTGTGAGTGTGAAGGACTCGGTACCTGTTGCTTTCTCCTGATGCCAGGCAAATGGGGACGCCATCCCCGCTGAAGCATGCGGTCTAGGCTTTGAGCTCATGAATCAGGTAGATGACCTCTTCAGGGGGAGGCCGTCTCTGTACCGGTACTCGGTTCCAGGGCAAGATGTAGGCCTGTGCCAGGCTTCATGTGTCCAGTTGGGCACAAGGCAAAACACTGGTGATCATCTTGGTATCAGCACCTCCCACCGCCTACACTGTCTGTCCTCCCCATGGCCTTCCTGGGAAGTCCCCAGTTTCCTCATGCCTTCCTTGGGGGAAGTCCCCAGCTACCCATGGCCTTCGTGGGGGAGTCCCCAGCTACCCCATGGCCTTCCTGGGGAGCCCACAGCAATGGGTGCCTGATGGGCAGTCTGAGGCCAGGATCACATACAAAGTGCTACTGACTGGTTCTTATGCCCTGTCGCAGCTGCCAGAATCCGAGGCCCTGGGCTCTCTAACTTGATTTCCAGCTTTGCTCCAACTTTCTGGATCCCATGGTGATAGAAAAAGTGTCAGCTGATGGTCTGCAGATCTGAAAGGGACCAAACAGAATGACAGGGCTTGTCACCCTTCCCAAACCCCAGCATCTGTTTCCGGCAGTGGGCCCTGCCTCTTTGGCTCTTCTACCTTTCTATCTACTTTACTTCCAAACCCACTGTAATGGAAAGCCCCCCACCCCCAGATACACAATTCTTTCCTAGTATTTTGCACCACTATCCCTCCTGGCATTTTCCCGGGTCTCAGGGGACATCTCCAACCTGATTTAAGAGAGAGAAACTATTAATACCTAATACTATTAACACCTATAATGATAATGGCTATTTATTGAAGACTTGATAGGTTAGGCCCTGCCTCTTAGGAGTACTTTACATGTGCCAGCCCATAGCCTGAACACTTGTTTAGTGTATATACTCATTTAGGTATACTGTCCTCAGTATCCCAGTGGGGAAACCCAAGTACAGAGGGGCCAAATAACTGCCACGCTTTTCCAGAACCTGCATCTTGAGCTACTGAGTTATGGTGGCTGTCCCCTAAAAGCCAAAGCGGAGCAGATGCTGTGGCTGAGCCACCATCCCATTCTCCCTTACCCCTAATAGCTTACAACGCATGACAGCTTCCTTGACTTGGCGAAAGCCACCGTCCGGGCCCCGGCCGTCCACGAAGTACATGAATCGGAGCTCAGCAGGGTAGGCGGCTCTGGTGAGGCCCGACATCAAGGGGATGGTGCGGCCCTCCGCCCCAGGAGCCTCAGTCAGGGCCTGCAGCATCTGGTACCTGCACCACGGGTCCCGCAGGAAGCCCGGCGTGATGAGCAGCACACGGCAGTGACTGCTACTCAGTGCCTGGCACAGCTCGGACACGATGGCGCCGCCTGGCGTCGCGTCCCGGAGCTGCAGGAAGCAGCGCAGGCTGGAGGCGCTGCCTTCCAGGTAGGAGACCAGCTCCTGGGCGACCGCCAGATCCTCCTCGCTGTGGCACACACACACATCATAGTCCTTGCTCCAGCGGCCGCCGCTGCCACTGCTGCTGCTGCTGCTGGCGCCCACGTGTGTCGGTGGGGGGGTGGGAGACGAGGTTGAGCTGAGGCCCAGGTGCTGGGTGTCCTCCTGGGAGCTTGGTGGTGAGACATCACTGGAGGGGCTTTCCGAGGATTCCAGCATCCTCTTGGGCCTCTTCGACAGGGTCTGCCTGAACCAGTCTGTGGGCAGAGAAACACGGCTCAGGCATGGGATTCTCACGGGCTGCCCTGGACAGAGGACCCCACATGTGTCAGGTCCAGCCCACCGCCCTGCCCCGGCCAACATGCCACCTGACTCTCAGAGACCTACTGCTCTGCTGTTCTGTACATCCTTCAGGACTGGCCTTAAAGGTCCCGTTATCTTTAAAGGTTTGGGAAGTCATAAAAACTCTGGCCCTTTTATGAGTCATGAGAATGTAATGTACAACATACGGACTATAGTGAATAATACTGCATTCGAGATTTGAAAGTTGCTGAGAGGAAACCTTACAAGTTCTCATCACGAGAAAAAAAAGTTCTACAATTATGAATGGTAACAGATGTTAACTAGACTTCCGGTGATCATTTCACAATATATACAAATACTGAATCATTATGTTGTACACTTGAAGCTAACATAATGTATGTCAATTATACATCAATAACTAAATTTAAAAAAAAAAACCTTTTGTATAACAAGATGAAACTAAAAAAAGGGAAAGGAAAGAACTCTGGCTAATTCACCAGCCTGATTAGGAAAGAAGGCTGTGCCCTATTCCAGGCCCTTCGGTTTCTGGTACTCTCAGCTTACGCTACCCAGAACTTCCCACTAGCGCTCACTAGCCAACCATCTGCTTGCTAGTTTGTAAGTAGAGCTGTGGTAAACTGGTAAGAATCAGTCGCTCCCAAACCCACTTTCTGCACTGAGGGGAGGTTGATTTAGATTAAGGTGGGCAACCTGTTATAGGACAGAAAGAGGGCTGGGACTGGCATCTGTTTGGCCCTGAGAAATCCCAGATGGTTGCTAAGTGGTAAAACAAAAGCATGGCGGAGGATTGCTGCTCACAGCTCTTGAAGAGCACAGAGGCTAGTGATTCACAGCCCACACGTCAGAGCCAGGCATAGATTTGATTGTGGACTTACAGCTTGCTTTCTATATGAACCTAAGCAAGTCAGTCTGTGTCCATTTCCTCATCTGTAAAATGGTATACATGCTGCCAAAGCGAGCACTCCTCATCTGTAAAATGGATTCATTTTAATTGTTGTTGAAGATTAACTGAGATAAGGCAGTGTCTGGTATATTGTAAGTATTCCATAATGATACCAGCTTTTTAAAAAATTGTTTTTAAATATTTATTTATTTCTGAGAGACAGTGTGAGCAGGGAAGGAGCAGAGAAAGAAGGAGACACAGAATCTGAACCAGGCTCCAAGCTCTGAGCTATCAGCCCAGAGCCCGATGGGGGGCTTGAATGCACAAACTGCGAGATCATGACCTGAGCCGAAGTTAGACGCTCAGCCAACTGAGCCACATAGGTGCCTCTCCAGCTTTTGAAAGGGACAGAAAGTTTAATGTTCTAGAGATTAATGTGTTTTCTCACTCTGCCTGGCTCCTTCCTCTGAATGGTTCTGAAAGACTTAGACAACAAGAAACACAATGCTAGATGCTCGGCACAATGGTTTCCAGGTTAGGAAATGCGCTGAGCATGCATGGAAAAGCTGTGAGCCCAAAGGACTGAAGGTTCTATGATGTGTGCCTCTCCTTACTCACCACAAAACATCTGGGCTCCGAGATCAAGGAAGGACCTCTCCATCTTCAGCCTCCCCAGCATTTCCTGCTGTGTTTGGGCTAGGCAGCCCATCCACCTTGCCTACTAGAATACTTATGACTACACTCATAGCTGTGAACCAGAGCGGAATTAGGAGTCTGTTTCCACTCACCAGCTATCTTGCCCAGAGGCTTCTTGGATCGGGAGTGAGGAGCTGAGAAGGAGGTTGATGATGCCATGGTATCAGGCTCAAAACTAACCCCATGAGTCCAGGCATTGGTAAAGTGGGAGAAGGGAGGGGACTCAGTCTTGACCTTATGGAACAGCCATCCTATAAGAGACAGAGAGAGAGGATCACAAACACTGTACTTCCCTTACTCCTAGTCCCAGTGTGTAGGCCTTAGATGTTCTCTCCTAATGCCCAACAGAGGCTCAATCTCTCTAGCCCTCACCCCTATCCCTTATCCACCACTGTCATTGGAGCTGACTTCCAGAAGAACCCAGGTCTATGTGATGTGGCGAGACTTACAGAGTAGGAGCGCAGCCTTGACCAGTTGAGGAACTGCCCTGGAATGTGGGGAAGAGTGGCTGGCAAGAAGCCATGGGGAAGGATTTCCTGTGTCGGGGGTGGAGGGGGAGATGGCCTTGGAGTAGGAGGACCCAGGACTCGCAGGAGCATAGCTAGATCACTCTCAAGTCATCCTAAATACCCCCAGAAATCAACCTGAAGACTGGCAGAGCAAACTCCACAACTAAAGGAGGAGAAGAGGCCACAGTGAAGAATAGGAAGCGTGGAGATGTGGTTTGGTCGGGGGGGGGGGGCGGGGGGGGGATCCTGGCTGCTGCAGAGGGGAGGGGACCACAGGTGCTGAGAAGTGAGAAGTGTGTGAGAGAGAGCAGCACTAGGAGATGCGCGCAAGGGGGCAAGGAGAACGTTTCCCCCAAAGCCATTGGCTAGGGAAGCAAGACAGCTGAATTTCATGAGATTTTGCAATCAGAGGGGCTTAGAGGCTGGAGCTGTGAAGGTTGGAGGGCCTGGCTGGGAGGGAGCCGGAGGGCGCGCTACCCTACTCCCAGCAGGGTGGTAAGCAGGAGAGCAATAGGGAACCACGCTCTGAAGAGGGCCTGGGGCTCTCAGGAGAAATTATTGCTCTTCTCCTGGGAGGCAGTTCACGGAGAGAGCGTTCCTGGAACAAAGGAGCCAGCCTGCACCGTTTCCCTCCCCCCTGTACCTAAGCACAAACATGAAACCACTAGGGGAGGCAGCCCAGAGGGACACTGGCTGCCTAACCTGCTTATCTCATCCCTGATCTCCCGCTCTCCCCCCCGCTCTCTGGTGGGGCTTCCCATCTCTGCAAGCATGTCTCAGTCCCAGCACGGGGGGCAGAGGGCCCCTCCTCCGGAAGACCAGCACAAACCTCTGCCCACACCACATTTCCTGACCAGACAGTTCTGCCGGGCTTCGGCTCTATTAGAAGGAGTATCAGGTCTCATTTATCTTTATTTTTTGTTTTTTAATGTTTTATTTATTTCTAGGGGAGAGAGAGACAGCGTGAGCAGGGGAGGGTCGGAGAGAGGGAGTCACAGACTGAAACAGTCTCCAGGCTCTGAGCTGGCAGTCAGCACAGAGCCCGACGCGGGGCCCGAACCCACAAACCACGAGATCATGACCTAAGTGAAAGTCGGACGCTTAACCGACTAAGCCACCCAGGCGCCCCTATCAGGTCCCATTTAACAAGCAGACCAGAGCACACCTAGTTACAACTTGCCACGTTCAGGTCAGGGACTGAACACTGGCCACTGCAGGCAAGGAGAGCTGTAGACAACTGGCCTGAAGGATAATAGCAGCCAAAACACAGCAGCACAGTGCATGTAGCACACACCTGAGACCGTCCCTAAAGCCCCAGGCCCTGGGCACTCCATGACCTCTTCTTCATAAGGCCATTGCTTTCAGGAGCCGCAGACATAACCTGCTTTTCTCACCCAGAGAAGAAGGCAGAGACTTAGATAAAATATGAAGATGGAGGAATTTATCCCAAATGAAAGAACAAAATAAGGCCAGAGCCAGAGATCTAAGAAAAAGAGGAATAAGTAACCTGTTTGATGGATAATTTAAAGTCATGCTCATAAGAATGCTCAGTAGACTTGAGGAAAAAATGAAAAACTTCAAGGAGACCCTTATCATAGAGATAAGAGTTAAAAAAGAATCAGAGATTTTAAAAAGTGCTATAAATGAGATTAAAAACAGGCTTGATGCAATGAACAGCAGGATGGAAGAAGCAATGAACAGCAGGATGGAAGAAGCATAAAAACAAATTAGTGACCTAGAAGATAAAGTAGCAAAAGTAATCAAGCCAAACAAAAGAGAGAAAAAAGGATTATGCAAAACAAGAATAGATTTATGGATCTCAGTGACTTCATCAAACATAATAACATTCATATTATAGGGATCTCAGAGGGAGAAGAGAGAGAAAAGGAAGCAGAAAATATATTTGAAGAAACGGGCTGACAACTTCCCTAATCTGGGGAAGGAAACATATGCAGACCCAGGAGGCACAGAGAATCCCCAACAAAACTAACAGAAGGATATCCACACCAAGACATGTTATAATTAAACTAGCAAAATATAATAATAAGGAAACATCTTAAAAGCAGCAAGACAAAAGAAGATGGTTACTTATAAGGGAAAACCCATAGGCTAGCAGCAGATTTTTCAGCACAAACTCTGCAAGCCAGAAGGCACGATACATTCAGAGAGCTGAGTGGGAAAAATCTCCAGCCAAGAATACTCCAACCAGCAAGGCTAACATTCAAAATAGAAGAAGTAGGTTTTACAAACAAGAACTTCCCGTGTCAATGCTGAGATGGGCGAAAGGACAGTTGCTCTTTGGACAACGAATTATTATCCAGGTAGGCAGATGCTGAATGGCAGAGAGAGGGCACATGCAAGAAACCTTGGGAGATTTTTCCTCCCTTCCCTTGAAAGACTCCTTCCATCCACCTACCCATTCGAACACCCATGCATCCCTCTCTCCCCTGCTTCCTCCCTTCCTTCCCCTCTCCCTGAGCTAGTGTCACATAGCTTACCTCCCTTGGTAAGGTAGTGTCACATGGCGGTGAAGTCTACAGATTCTGCAGGTAGAATGCCTGGATGCTTGCCTCTTGTTAACTGTGGCCTTTGGCAAGCTACTTAATCTTGCTAAGCTTCAGCTTCTCCATCTGTGAAATGAAAATAAAACTAGAACTGCTCAGCTTTAGAAGACCACATGAGATATGTTACATAAAGTGCTAATGGTTCATGGCATATCATGTTCAGAAAATAGTGTGGGTTAGCATGTATTTAAAATAATCTAGATATCAGAGGGATATGTGATGTTCACAGTTTCGAAGACTGAATATTGTAATCAATTTTCCCCAAACTAATCTTAAGATCAGTGTTATCCAAATTCTGGAATTTGGGGAGCGGGGGCCGAGGGGATTGTCAAACTACTTCTAAACTTAAGTGGAAATGCAAAGGACTTAGAAGCTCTTCAATGGGCAGTTTGCTTTGTTTCCTTCCCACCACAATGACCAGGATGCCCGTGATGGTGGAGGCTCTGTCTGGGAGGACACTGTGTGGAATGAAGCCCTCCCTCACCTGAGATGGAGCCACAGTGTTCCGGTGACACTTCTGCACATGGAGGGCTGGGGGAGAATGGGGCTCTAGAGCTGGAGCAGTGGGCAGAGGCTTGTTTTCTCACTCCAGCCTATCCGCAGAGGTCAAAGCAGACCCCTGGGAACTCCAGAAACAGCTTGTTCTATGAAACACACTGTTAGAAGTTTCCAAATTGAAAGAATGTTATTCGCTATTGAGGATGCTGCTCTGTTCCTGCTAAATGTGGAACACTTTTATGCCAACCCAGTGACTATCAGACAACATACTGATGATTCAGGAAACTGTATGAAAGTACAAAACAGAGAGAGAGAGAGAGAGAGAGAGAGAGATCTTAAACCCCTGCAGCAAGGGGGCAGAAAGAAGTAGAACAGGCACAGAAACCAGAGACATATGGAAAGAGACAAGCAGCTGGCTGCTAAGCTAGCCAAGGGGACACAAAAAGGTGAACTCAGGCATGTATACGTGGCTCTTTTCCTACCTCGTATTCTTTGGATTTCAGACAGCCGAGTGGTGCACTGAAGTTGAGCTACTGCCTGATAACTACTGAGTTTGGAATCCTTGTCCAGGTCTGGGGTTGCTGTCCCTCAACATCTTCATTTTAACCAATCAAGATGTCCTTTCTCTCCCCCAGTAGTAGACATAATGTGTCTGGGGTTTTATATTAAAATTATAATTATTAATTATATTTTAAATTAATATATTTATTAATTATATTATAATTACATATATAATTACAATATAAATTATATATTATTAATTATATTAAAATTCATTTTGTGGCCTTGATATACTTATAAACTAAAGAATCATTTGATATTTTTAATGATAGCTAAAAGGTTAGAAATTAACATCATACTTGGCTTCCCTGGGGAATTCTACCAGACATTTAAAACACAATTAATCCCAATTCTTCTCAAGCTATTCCAAAAAATAGAAATCGAAGGAAAACTCCCGGACTCATTTTATGAAGCCAGCATCACTCTGATTCCCAAGCCAGACAGAGATCCAGCAAAAAAAGAGAACTACAGGCCAATATCCTTGATGAATACGGATGCAAAAATCCTCAACAAGATCCTTGCAAATCGAATCCAGCAGCATATAAAAAGAATCATCCACCAAGATCAAGTGGGATTCATTCCTGGGTTACAGGGCTGGTTCAACATTCGCAAATCAATCAATGTGATACATCATATCAATAAAAGAAAAGATAAAAACCATATGATCCTGTCAATAGATGCAGAAAAAGCATTTGACAAAATACAGCATCCCTTCTTAATAAAGACTCTCGAGAAAGTTGGGATAGAAGGAACCTACTTAAACATCATCAAAGCCATCTATGAGAAGCCTTCAGCTAACATCATCCTCAACGGGGAAAAACTGAGAGCTTTCCCCCTGAGATCAGGAACACGACAGGGATGTCCACTCTCACCACTGTTGTTTAACATAGTGCTGGAAGTCCTAGCATCAGCCATCAGACAACAAAAGGAAATCAAAGGCATCAGAATTGGCAAAGAGGAAGTCAAACTTTCACTCTTCGCAGATGACATGATACTCTACATAGAAAACCCGACAGACTCCACCAGAAGCCTACTAGAACTGATCCAAGAATTCAGCCAAGTTGCAGGGTACAAAATCAACGTACAGAAATCGGTTGCATTTTTATACACCAATAATGAAGCAACAGAAAGAGAAATCAAGAAACTGATCCCATTCACAATTGCACAAAAAACCATAAAATACCTCGGAATAAACCTAACCAAGGATACAAGAGATCTGTATGATGAAAACTATAGAAAACTTATGAAGGAAATTGAAGAAGACACAAAGAAATGGAAAAACATTCCATGCTCATGGATAGGAAGAATAAATATAGTTAAGATGTCATTACTACCTAAAGCACTCTACACATTCAATGCAATTCCAATCAAAATTGCACCAGCATACTTCTCAAAACTAGAACAAACTATCCAAAAATTTGTATGGAACCACAAAAGACCCCGAATAGCCAAAGTAATACTGAAAAATAAAACCAAAACGGGAGGTATCACCATCCCAGACTTCAGCCTCTACTACAAAGCTGTCATCCTCAAGACAGTATGGTATTGGCACAAAAACAGACACATAGACCAATGGAACAGAATTGAGAACTCAGAAGTGGACCCAAAAGTATACAGCCAACTGATCTTTGACAAAGCAGGAAAGAATATCCAATGGAAAAAAGACAGCCTTTTTAACAGATGGTGTTGGGAGAACTGGACAGCAACATGCAGAAGAATGAAACTAGATCATTTTCTCACACCATGCACAAAAATCAACTCAAAATGGATAAAGGACCTGAACGTGAGACAGGAAACTATCAACACCCTAGAGGAGAAAGCAGGAAACAACCTCCTTGACCTCCACCGCAGCAACTTCTTACTTGACACATCCCCAAAAGCAAGGGAATCAAGAGCAAAAATAAACTGTTGGGACCTCATCAAGATTAAAAGCTTCTGCACAGCCAAGGAAACAACCCAGAAAATTAATAGGCAACCAACGGAATGGGAAAAGATAGTTGCAAATGACATATCAGATAAAGGGTTAATATCCAGAATCTATAAGGAACTCACCAAACTACACGCCCGAAAAACAAACAACCCAGTGAAGAAATGGGCAGAAGACATGAACAGACACTTCTCCAAAGAGGACATCCAGATGGCCAACAGACACATGAAACGATGCTCAGCATCCCTCCTCATCAGGGAAATACAAATCAAAACCACACTGAGATACCACCTCACGCCAGTCAGAGTGGCTAAAATGAGCAAATCAGAGAACTCTAGATGCTGGCGAGGATGTGGAGAAACGGGCACCCTCCTACACTGTTGGTGGGAATGTAAACTGGTACAGCCCCTCTGGAAAACAGTGTGGAGGTTCCTCAGGAAACTAACAATAGAACTCCCTTATGACCCAGCAATAGCACTGCTAGGAATTTACCCAAGGGATACAGAAATGCTGAGGCATAGGAGCACATGTACCCCAGTGTTCATAGCAGCACTCTCAACAATAGCTAAAACATGGAAAGAGCCTAAGTGTCCATCAATGGACAAATGGATCAAGAAGATGTGGTTTATCTATACCATGGAATACTACATGGCAATGAGAAACAATGAAATCCGGCCATGTGTAGCAACATGGATGGGCCTTGATGGTGTTATGCTGAGCGAAATAAGTCAGGCAGAGAAGGACAAATATCATATGTTTGCATGTATAGGAGGATTAGGAGGAACTTAACTGAGGATCAAGGGGGAGAAGAAGGGGGGAAATGGTGGGGGAAAGGGAGAAAGCAAACCATGAGAGACTCTTGAATGCTGACAAAAACTGAGGACTGATGGATGTGGGGTGGAGGGAGGGATGGGCATGGAGGAGGACACTTGTGGGGATGAGCACTGGGTGTTATGTGGAAACTAATTTGACAATAAACTATTTGTAAAAAAAAAAAATAATGCAAAAAAAATAAAAGTGAAAATAAATTTCTAGAATCTCAGAAAAAAAAAGAAATTAACATCATACTTTAATCTTAAACAGATGTAAATATAAAAGTTTCAGTTTCTCATTTTATGGCATGACTCGCCCTTTTGGCAATTCATGCTGATTTTTGGTAATTGCCTCCTTTCACTGCTTGGTTAAGAAATCCAATTGCCCAACAGCACATGTCACTGTAAGTGGGTTGGTATAAGCCCTTTGACTAATGTTATGGAAAAGTTTAAACACAGGAAATAGCAGCATCTTTGACATAGGAGAATTCAGCAAGATGGCAGACAAGTTCCATTAACCTTATACACTGTGAACTTCCTGGAATCTAACCCTCTATTACACCTTCCTTGTTCTCTTTCAGTTCTTGTGCAGCTGAAATTGTGGGGCTATCACACTTAAATATGCTTTAATCTTTACAAGATTTAGTACTAGTAATATATATTGAGATACAGGAGAACTTGTCAAACAGATGAGAATATAACGAACCCAAATCTCCAAATGGAGGGTCTGATCACTAGCTCTGTCTATTCAGGGACTTGTGTGCTCTTACGTGTAGCCACTTTTCCTTGTGCTTTTTAAAAAATTCATAAAAGGATACACACCTAAATACCCACTTTGTAGGTAATTACAAAGTCTTGATTTAAAAAATTAGTGAAAACTTCTTTTTAAAAAGCAACAGTATGACACCTTTAGTGCTTTTTATTTTTATTTTTTAAGTTTATTTAACTTAAAGTTAAGAGTGTGTGTGAGCAAGGGGGAAACGAAGAGGGAAGGAGGAGGGAGGGAGGGAATCTCAAGCAGTCTCCATGCTGTCAGCACAGAGCCCGATGCAGGGCTCGAACTCACAAACCATGAGATCATGACATGAGCCAAAGTCAAGAGTTGGACACTCAACCAACTGAGCCACCCAGGCACCCCCCCCCTTTAGTGTTTTTTAGAACGTTTTTGCAATGTTCTATGTAGAATGTGTGGAAAATATTGTGAAGTTTCACTGTACAAAATACAGAGTGTATTAAGTATTATCCAATATCCTATTGGGTCTCCAATA